CCTCCTGTACCAGTCAGATCCAATTTGACAGCACACACACACACACACACAATATTATAAAATAAAATTTTTTTTAAAAAAAAAACCACTGGAGGGTCAGCTATGAGTTGGCTCCAACTAAAGGCACACACCAACAACAACATTGTTGTTGAGACGTGCTTCATATATACGCCAATACATCTATATCTCATATGGGGAGGAACTCTCTAATGCTCTGAGCTGATCACAGGAGGGAAAGTCCTATGCCTCATACAAACAGGAAACTGAAAAACACACAAATGTGTTATTATTTAGTCCTCCAGAAACTCTATTAATGTGGAGAAATGATGAAAGTTATACAAGTGTTCAGGTCTTTCATTCAAAGGGTCGCTATGAGTCATCTACGATCCCATGATGCCAACAAGCTTGAAGGGGGCCTACACCATTCTCAGATGGGCAGCACATAGAGAGCCCCCGAGGGGCCATCATGCTGCCATGTCACTCTGGGGGATAAAGACACAATTATCCTAGGCTAATCTCAGCCTCTGGGGTCTCAGCCCCAAGGGCCCACAAAGGAGGCCTGGAAGCCTTTACCATGTCACCTCCTTCCTCTGCCCTGAGAAAGACAGCTAATCTATTTCCGTAGATCCTCTTTATGGAAATTGTTCCCTTTGAAAATTCCTGGGTGTGCATGAACGTAATGAAAAGTCAGCCTGCTTTCTGAGCTTTCACTTAAATCACAATATGGAGTGGGGGAAGAAAGAATTGGTGCTGGAATGTAACACAGCCCTGATGGAAGAGGAGTTCTGCCACAGTGTAGCCTGTAAAGATTTTTATCTTACTAGAGATAAAAATGGGAGGCAGGGGAGCCAAAGCAGGGATGCTCGGTACTGCCAAGAAAGAGCTACCTGGAGTGGAGTGTCTGCTATGAACCCAGGCCCCTGCTCAAGGAGGCTCCTTGACAACAGAAAGGCCAGGACACAGGGATATCACCAAGGAATGCCTGGCCTACAGGTGCTAAAAGAATCAAGGGTTTTTCTCCATAATCAAAACAGAGAGAGTGGTCCTTTCCCTATAGCTGGCCCCCTGAATTTGGGCTTCTAGCCCCTCTTGTGGCCTAGTGTGAAATGAGTCACACTGTCAACCCAAAGGCAAGTGGTTCAAGTCCACCACTGTTCAGAAGGAAAGAGATATACAATCTCCTCCCGTAGGATTTACAGCCTCTGAAAACCTGCTAAAGGGTTTGAGTTTTTTGAAACTGTTAGAGAATCAAATTTGTTTGTAAATGGAGAAAGAGTATTGACTATACCATGGACTGCTAAGAGAACAAACAGGTTCATCCTAGAGAGGGTGAAATCAGGCTGCTCCTGGGAGGCAAGGATTCTGAAGTTTCAGCTGACATACTCTGGGCATGTTGCAAGCAGGGACCAGTCCTTGGAGAGGGGCACCATGCCTGAGAGAGTGGAGGGACAGCATAGGAGAGGAAGACCTTCAATGAAATGAATTGATTCAGTGACTGGTGTAATGGGGGTAGGTGTGTCAGAGGCAATGAGATTGGCACAGGATGGAGCAGGATTTAAGGCTGTTTGTTGTACAAAGGGTCGCTATGAACTGCAGGCAACTTGATGGCACATAACAACAACAAATGGGGAGAAAAAAAAGGAAAGAAAGGCCTGAAATGAGTGGGGGTTTCAAAGATGACCTGATTTCTCCAAAATGTGTTTTTCGTCCTCAGTGTTCCACTGCTGATGGTGACGGGTATGGGCGACATGTGAGGGTTCTGCTGTAACCCTTGGCGGGCCAATGACAGCCTTGTGGCACGGTTCACAGTAAAAAGGATGTCATGTGACTTCCCACAGGGATAGAACTTTCTGGGGAACCAGCAGGCTGAAACAAGCCTTTCTACAGGATCCTGCACTCTGGAAACCAGGGGTGGTGGGTATGTCCACCCAGACACTGCATCAGCTTGCCAAAATGCTTTAAAACCCAAACTTTCTTCCAGAAGTGTGGTTTACCATCGGACAAAAGAGAGTTAACACAATCACGGGTTTGGTCCCGAGGGCATTTACCTTACACCTGATTGATTTCTTGTTTGAATGATACTGATTCTTGAAATGTAAAATGACATGAATTTTCTTTATGTCAAATCCACAAATATCAGGTCCTAGAAGGAGAAGAAAAAAATAAAATGGGAGCTGCTCTCAATTTCCTCCCATAACATATGCATCACCATAAAATCCTCCCTCCTGACTCCTGCCCATCCTACATGTATGAGGCCCAGAAGGACTCTGAGCAGGCCTTTCTCTGGGAACCACAGCTCTGGGAGCCTTAAGCATAAGGCAGGGGTCAGGGAGAGTGCAGCTGTGGCCGCTGCCCGGACCAGCTCCAGATTCCAACGTAGCAGTCCCGGGAGCTGAGCCATGTGACATCCACCCCGCCTCCCCATGCCTGCTTCCTTGTGGATAAAACAGAGATGTTAATCAGAACGTCACAGAATATCATGCCAACAAAACTGGCTGTTGTCCATACAGTAGTGTGGCAAAGTTCAGGGCTCAGGTTATTATTACTAACATGATAGGTATTTTCATCTATATAGCCGTCATAGCTACTTGATGATAACCCAAAATGATAAATCAGACTTAAACTTGGTATATAAGAATACAAAATCTAGAGAGAGTTCTATTCCAGGGTTGGAGATGGTGAGACTGGCATGGATGGGGTTAACCGTCAGTTGCTAGGCTCTTGGAATGTTGTAGAACATGCAACCCTCTAAGAATCTGTCCTTCTCAACAGAACAGCAGTCTTTCATCCTGGCATGCTGACCATGCATGACAGGGTGTAACTAGGAAACACGATCAGCTTTCTGATGATGCTTGGAGTCTGTCCCGACGGTCAATGGCCTCAAGTCAACACTTGTTGTTCTTCCTAGCTCTCAAGGGACTATACCGGAGCCTCCCCTGAACCGAGGAACCACCCTGAAGTACTCTATCCAGTTTCTGTCCAGTCAAACTAGTGCGCTGAGTGAGCCCAGAGCGATCAGGGCTGTAGTTAAGGGCACACAGAATGTGAGCAGTTGAGTGACATTCTGATGCATCACAGAGAACAGTGTATTCTCAAAGGCTGCGTTCATTTCCTTTGTTACCATCGCTGGAAAACATCCCAGTCCACTTTTCAAAAGGAACGAGACCATATCCAAGCAATTATTGAGAAATAGGACTCTCTCAGAATTGAGATGTGACATATCTGTTCCACTCTAAACTGGTCAGATTCTTCCTCTATTTTCTCAGTGTCTACCAGTCTGTTTATATTGAATTGACATTCAGGGTACACTCAGGAACAATGAGAAAATTAGATATCTTCCATTAATGGCAATAAGATGATTTGTGCAAAAATAGATTTTTTTTCCTTTTTAAAATATTTTATTGATTTTCATATAATAATTACACTATGTTTCATTCATATACCTTGTGTTTTATAAAATCTTTCATTTACATTTTTTTTCTTACAACTGTTCATATACATTCTATTTTACATTATTTTTTAAATAATTTTAATGAACATTTACAGAGATTTTGGATTTCCATTCATTCATTGCTGCACTTCTCTCCCTGCCCATCCCTCCCCCCAAAAATAGATTTAAAAAAAATCAGAAAAGGAAGTAAATCCTAAAGTTGGTCTGACCTGATGTTGGGCGTGTAGCTTAAGCTGAGCTTCAGTTTGCATAGTTTAAAATCAAGAAAAGTGTGAACCAGGGCTGTGTTCTTCCTCCATACCTATTCGATTTGTATGCTGAGCAAATAACTCGAGAAGCTGGACTATATGAAGAAGAATGTGGCATCAGGATGGGAGGAAGACTCACCAACAGCCTGCAACATGCAGATGACTTTGAAGAAAGTGAAGACGACTTAAAGCACATACTGCAAAAGAGCAAAGGCTACAGTGTGAACTGTAGCTCCACATCAAGAAAACAATCTTCATCATTGGACACAACATTATCAATCAAATTATGACCAAGAAAAATGATGAGGGAAAATAAGAAAAATTATGATCAAGAAAAGACTAAAGTCAGTGATTTTACTTTACTTGGATCTACAATTAACACTCCTGGTGGCAGCAGTCAAGAAAGCAAAGGATGGGTTGCATTGGGAAAATGTGTGACAGAGCAACAATGGTAGTTTAAGGACTAAGGTGCACCTGACCCATGTCATGATCTTTTAAATGACTTCCTATGCATCTGAAAGTTGGACAATGAATAAGGATGATAAAAGAATTATTGATGTCTTTGAATTGTGGTGTTGCTGAAGAGTATTGACTATTCCATGGCCTGCCAAAGAAATAAACAAGTCTGTGTTGGAGAAAGTGCAATGAGGGTGCTCCTTAGAGGCAAGGATGGGGAAACTTTGTCTCACATATTTTGGGACTGTTGTCAGGAGGGGCCAGTCTTTGGAAAAAGACATCATGCTAGGAAAATTCGAGGGCTCGGTGAAGAGAGGAAGACTGTCAGTGAGATGGATCGACACAGTGCCTGCAACAGGGGGCTTGTACAAGGTGGAGATTGTTCAGAGGGAGCAGCATAGGGCAAGGTTTAAATTTACATCTTCTGTTCATGGAGTTGCTGAGTCGTACTAGACTTGACTATACCTAACAAGTTTCTTCTATATTTGCAAAATTAGGGCCTTAGGGCCTATTTTTCAAGAATTCTACATTTATCGCATAGAACTTATAAGGCGGTCCCAGCAAGGGTGTGATTCACTCACTGTCTCCTCTTCCCCTTCAGCACTTTGATCAATCATCAAACTCTTCTCATACCAAAGGCCAGAGCTGAGACAGCAGGACTAAGGACCAGTTCTTTTTTTTTTTTTTTTATATTTTGTGTGCGTGTACCGTCAAATCAGATCTGACTGGTACAGGAGGATATTGCGCCTCCTTCTCCGGCAGAGCATCTGGTGGATTCGAACCGTATTCCTCTGGGATTGCAGTGCAGCTTCTTGCCACTAGGCCACCAGAGCTCCCCCTAAGGACCAGTTCTTGTGTAATTATAGCTGATGAAACAAAACTGGAACAGACTCAAATGTGTAAATGCTGGAAACGTGTAAATGTGGAAAACTGGAACACAAAAATGACAAGTCTATACCCTGTTAGAAGTTTACTCTCTCTCCTAAAATACAAGGACAGAGTGGACTTTGTATAGCAAATCTCTTCACTGGCAGAGTCAGAAACACTAGTGCCCAGCTCAAATCACGTGTGCTGAACTCTACAGCCCTGGCAATAATCCAGCCTCCTGCATCAGACTCCCCAAAAGACCTCATTCTACTACCTCTTCTGAGTCTCCCATTTCAAGTACGACAGAGCCTGAAGCCCTGCTTTAATAATGAGTTTGCTGTTGTCATTAGATGCCGTTGGGTGCAGTATAACTCATAGTGACCCTATGAGAAACAGAGTTGAACCCTGTCCTATCCTGTGTCATCCTCCTCGTCTCTGACATACTTGAGCCCATTGCTGGAGTCACTGTGTCAATCCATGTTGTTAAGGATCTTCTCCTCTTTCATTGGCCTTCCACCTTTCCAGGCATGGTGGCCCTTTCCAAGGAACAGCCTCTCTTAGTTAACAACACCCCTGGGAGCTCTGGTGGCTTAGTGGTAAAAACTTGTGCTGCGGGGAGCTCTGGGGGCCTAGTGGCAAGAAGTTGCACTGCAATCCCAGAGATGTGAGGTTCAAATCCACCAGATGCTCTGCTGGAGAAGGAGGGACAATCTCCTCTTGTACCAATCAGATCTGATTTGATGGTACAAATACACAAAAATTATAAAATAAAAAATCAAAAAAATTTTTAAAAAAACCAAAAACTTGTGCTGCAGCCCCAAAGGCAAGTGGTTTGATTCTGCCAGCAGCCCCACAGAGGAAGGATGGTCAGTCTCCTCCCTAGTGATGGACTCCTTCTGAAAACCTGGACAGTTGGTCCAGACTCGCAGCACACAACAACAACAATAAGCAACATGCCCAAAGTTAAGTGAGACAAAGCTCTGCCATCCCTGCTTCCAAGCAGCATTCTGGCTGCACTTTTCCTAAGACCTATCTGTTCTTTTGGCAGTCCATGGGATATTCAGTACTCTTCTTCAACACCACAGCTCAAAGGCATCCGTTCTTTTTCTGTCGTCCTTATTCTTTCTCCAGCTCTCAGATCCATAGCAAGTGACTGACAAGACAATGGCCTGAACCAGGTTCACCTTAGTCTTCAAACTAACATCATCGCTCCTCAGGACATTGGAGAGGTCCTTTACAGCAGACTTTCCCAATGCAATACATCTCCTGATCTCCTGACTGCTGGTACCAAAGGGTGTTGATCATGAATCCACCTAAGATACAATCATTGACAATTTCAATCTATTCTCCGTTCATCATGATGCTTCTTCTCAGTCCACTGGTGAGGATTTTTGTCTTCTTGATGTTGAGATCCGATCCATATTGAAGGCTGTAGTTTTGTTGTTGTTGTTGATGGTCTTTGAGTTGAGCATGACTCATAGTAACCCTATGAACAAAAGGCCTGAAGCCCCTCTACAACTATCGGCATTCAAAGTTCATAGAGTTTACGGAGGCACGTTGTTTAGGAAGTGGATGCCACTCCTGCTTCCAAATCTGTCATGGGATGTTATTGGTTGAGTTGCCTAGGATCCTATTACGCACAGCAGTTCTGAACCCTTCTCTGTCCTGAGCCAGTCTCACTAATTCTGACACACCAACCCCCATTGCCCCAGATACTGTATCAACCCATCAGGGTCTCCTCCTCCTGTGCTGTCCGTCCACCCTTCTGAGCATCATGTCCTTCTTCAAAGACTGACCTCTCCTGGCCATGTGCCCAAAATAAGTGAGGCAGAGCTTCAGAATCCTAGCATCCAAGGAGAGATCTGGTTTCACCCTGTCCAAGACAGATCTATTTGTTTTCTTGGTGGTCCAGGATATGTTCAAGTTTAGGCCTCATTAAAACACAACTGAGTTAGAGTTAAAACACAATATAGGAAAATTTAATCCTTTTTTATGCCCAAGTATGCTACTTCTCAATTCAGATAAAGCAACCATATGCTCTAAAGATGTCAAAGGGATGTTTTGGAAACCAGGGGGGCAGCTGCTGTAGCCAGACCCCAAGCCGGGCCATCCCCGCCACTT